AACTCCAGCTCCAGGTGTTCCAATGCCTCTGGGCTCTGTGGACACCTGCACTCAATTATACACATACACCCACATTTACAGAGATGGTAAAAAGGCACAGCCTACTTCACATTTTACTTGTTATAATAAGAGGGTTTTTAATAATCAAATAAATTCCCATTTTACTGGTATGCTCTGTCCCAATGACTCTGCATTACCTTTGTCAAGTCTATAGCCCTAGCTCAAAACTACCATCTGCGAGTAATCACCAGACCTGAGGCCCTTCCCATTTGTACATAGTTAAAAATATAAATAAATCTTTAAAAGAAAATGTAAAAGTATAGTGAAAACCCAAGTATAGAGAAGAAAGATGATCCAATAATCTTGTCTTAATTTTTATTGTCTTTGTTTTGTGTCTTTCTAAGATTTCTCTGAACTCTTCTTCTATATCATATTTGAACTTTTCTTGAATGTTCATCTGTAGTATTCTGCCTGCCTCATGAATCATATTTATTGTTGTCCGTGAATATTACCGGCAGCTTTCTCAATTTCTTTGCTTTGTGCATAATCTTTATTTTATTGAGGTTGCCTTTTCCTGTTTGTTTTGGTCTCCGTCTTTCATACTTGGTGCTTTCCTTGACTAATCTCTAGTTTAGAATGTGCAAAGGCCAAATCCTAGAAGCAGAATCCTTGTTTACTCTCCATGTGGTTCGTTAGTCATGAATACAGAAGGTCAAGGTTGCACACTCTCATGTGCACACTGTATCAGAAATCTCTTTCTACAATGTCGAAATTCACTGAATGATAGTGATGTTTACAAACTACAGAGAGGCTTCTCACGGCCTGTGGTTTACCACACAGTTCCCATTCCCCAGCTGGTTCAATAAATTTTAACAAAGCTGGCTGGATTGTTGCTGGAAGCATACAGAACTGAGTAGTCATGGGGTCAGGCCGAGCCTCACAAGCACCAGGACCGCCAAGGCCAGGCCCAGGACTAGGTCTGGAGGGATGGGCAGGTGAACACATGCATGGAAGACAATGGGAATGTCACACTAAGCAGTGAAGATAGTTAGGAGTGCCCTGCCTGCCCATCTTTGACACATGCCCTTTGGTGATGCAACAAGTCATTGGGACCCTGGACTTGACAGTGTTGAGTGACCCTTTTAAAATAGGGGCTTCAGGTTGATGATTTACATTTCAGACTGGTTTTCCTAGCATAGGTTTAATAATCCATGTGCCCAGATGTTTCCAATCTTCTTTAATAGGTTTACAAATACCACTTTTCACCTTTAGGAGTAAGATTGATCTGTCCCTCATGGGTGGTGCTGGGTGGGTGAGTGGTCTCTCAGTGCACAGAGCAGTACAGTTGTGCTTTCTCTGCATTTGTGCTCAGAATTGAACCAAATGCTGCTTGTGACACGGAGTCACCCAGGGCAAGGCGTCTGAAAGCCACTGTCTCACAGAGCTGAGAGCAGCACACTGTCTGCACAGGATGCAGCCTGATCTCCTGACAGAGCTCAGAGATGATAAAAGTGCTCAAAGTTCTAGGACTGCTGCATCCCCTTTAACGTTTGATGAAAAATAAGCCTTAAGTTTAAGCTATCTAAACAGTCTTTAAAATATCCGTGTAGGGTGTTTGCCAGCTTCCCAGTAAAAATGATGAAAAGGAATATCCACACAGAAGAATTGATATCAGGTATGGTTCAGATTGTGTTTGTTGAATTCTTTTCACTCCTCTACTTCAGGTGACATAGATATGTAGAGCCTCCTTTTAGTAAGGGATGATAAATTCCTATAAAAATATAGCAGTGGCTGAACTGAGTACAAAATGGGAATGTCCCCAGATGTCAGTTTCTCCAGATTTGCCCCTCAGCAGAACACCAGCCCTGACATTGTAATAAGTAGATGTTACTTTTCATTTATGCACACCTTTCTTACTTACTGGGTGTGTAGCTGGAGTTTGGAGGTAAAAGCCTGGGCTCTGAGAACCTGAACTCTCTGCCTGTCCTCATATGTGACTGGGAAAGACAGATAGATGCAAGCTGCTAACATCCCCGGCTCCATTTTCTGGGCCCTGGCTTGAACTTTAGGCCTAATGGGGAAGAATTAGAGCAGGGACTAAGGGAGGTGAGGTGTGGACAGTAAGCAGTTCTGGAAAGGGTGTGGCCCTAGATCTAGCACTGTCCATGTGGTTCTTGAGGGATGGTCATTTCTGCTGCTGAGTGCAGCCTCAGCCTCACAAGTAATTGCCCTTGTCAGAAGGATGATCTATGCTATTTGAGGGTCCCCCATTCTGGAACCCCAAGTGACTCAGGAGGTTAGGGGAAGGTTAGGGACAATAATGAGAGTAAAGCAAAAAGCACAAGACCAAGGCAGTCCTGCTTTTAGTTGCCTTATGAGCAGTCACTGTTTTAGCAAAAGTAGCTTGAAGCAGCATAGTTTCCAATTGCAAGCCTAAGTGACAAGATGGTCATCGAAAATCAACCTAACAACCTGTTTTTCTTAGGTTATGAGACCAGAAGACTTACTTTAGGTATTCTGATTTTACTGATATTAGAAAACCTTTGCTAAACTTGAAATATGTGGTTAAAATTTTTTTCCCTAAGGTTGATCCCCAAAGATCAGTATTACTGTGGTGTTCTCTACTTCACTGGGAGCGACATCTTTAATAAGAACATGAGAGCTCACGCTCTAGAAAAGGGCTTCACAATCAATGAGTACAGCATCCGCCCCTTGGGGATCACTGGTGAGTATCTGTGACTGTCTCAGCAGTCATCTTCCATCTAGAGAGAAGGTGCTTTCCACAGCTGTTTCCCTGAGGTTGTAAGCATGTGCCATTGTGCCTGTAATCCCAGCCTTGGGAGATCTGGAGGTTGGATCAGCCTTGGCTACTCAGCAAGTCTGAGGGCAGCCTAGGCAACTTGAGCCCCTCTCAAAAACTAGGTATTTTAAGATAACAAAGATTTCTAAGAAGACTCTTGGTGATCCTGCCATTTAATTGTAGCTCCTTTATGTTTTTAATCCCACAGGAAATAAAAGATGTTTAAGGCCTCAATTGATGGTGAATAAGGTGAAAGTGGTTTCCAGCTCTGTTAGAATAGATGTAGCTTAGCTAGTGCAGTGCCTGCCTTGCATGCAGCCCCGGCAAAGCAGGGGGAACAGGATTAAATCCTTCCTAGCTACTTAGGATGCTTATTAAAAGATCTATCCAAAGATCTAAGACTTGTGAAGAACTTGGGTACCATTTCTTTTCATGTCACTGAAAGCGATGCCTGAGACTTCAGCAGTAGTAGATCATGTTCTTAGCATGTAATAAGGACCAGGTGCCATCCCCACCACTCCTACCCTCACAGGGGAGAATCAAACAAAAAAATTACAAAATAATCCCTGGTAATTATCTTCACTTCATGCTTTAAGATTCAAAGAGTAAGGTGAGATGGCCCAGCAGGTCAGGGCCCTTCCCAAAGCCTGCATTTGATTCCTGGGACCCACATGGTGGAAGAACTGATTCCTAAAACCCTTCATCTTCCACCTGTACCCCCTGTGCCATATGCATACCCACATGTAGACATGCATGCTTACACCACACACAAAAAAATTAATGAATGAGTGAATGTAATGTTTTTAAAATCAGGATTGATTGATCTCTATAACATTTCACAATCTACTGTATGGTTTACTAGGGAGAATGAACTGTTACCATTTTGTCTAAATGTTACATGAAAGAAGACTTCTATCATGTAGGTTGGAGCATTGCTTTTCAAATTTAAACATGCATTTAGTTCACGGGTCTTCATTAAATGTGGGTTTAATGGACACTACTTTCATGGGCACTCAGGCATCTGAATTTCATTAATTTTGGAGACAGGATAGCACTTTAACCCAGGTTGGCCTAGTCATGTACCACCACACCTGACTCAGGAGTCCATAATTCTGGTAGACTTCTAAGTGATGCCATTACTGTTAGCTTAAGAACCACAGTCTGAGTTGCAAAAGTAACTCAAGAATATTTTACGATAGGTACAATAGAGATCCAGTAAAGAGGAAAATCATGACCTAGGGCAGCTTTCCTGGCCACTGTTGGGGTACCCAGCTCTATAGCACTGGTAACATGTGACAAAACATGCATGCAGGCTTGTGTCAGAAAGTGGAGGGAAGGTAGGAACTTCTTCTAAATGGCTCAGTTACTTTCCCCTGTTCTGGAAATGGAACCTTGTTCGTGCTGAGTCAGCCAGGTTAGCTCACAGTCTGCAGCAATTAACTTCTCACACTAGTTTTTTGTTTTGTTGTTGTTCTCTCTTACAGGAGTTGCTGGGGAGCCCCTTCCAGTGGACAGTGAGCAGGACATTTTTGATTACATCCAGTGGCGATACCGGGAGCCCAAGGATAGAAGTGAATGATGCCACCACCCCTCCCACCCTGGCATATCCCACTAGGAGTCCTAATTTATTTCTTAACCTTTGCTATGTAAGGGTTTTGGTGTTTTTAAGTGATTGTTTCTTCTCCATGCTTACCATGTACTGTAGTCAATAAACCTCTTGAGCTATTATTGAATACTTATTTTTTTTTAGTAAATGTGCTTAAATTCAACATGTTTATGAGCACAGTTTGCCATGAGTTTAGTAGAGAATAGTAAGAGCCAGGTTGCTAGAAAATGTTTAATGGAAGTCAGGCGTGGGTGGCTCACACTTTTAATCCCAGCACTCAGGAGGCAGTGGCAGGTGGATCTCTGTGAATTTGAGGTCAGCCTGGTCTACAGAGTGAGTTCCAGGACAGCCTCCAAAGCAATACAGAGAAACCCTGTCTCGAAAAACCAAAAAAAAAAAAAAATGTTTAATGGACATTTTTATTTCTGCCTTTCAGTGCAACCACGTTCTCCTCTACTGTCTCCTGTTTGCTCTTTACTTGAAGCTGGTTCGGTATTCTCTAGAAACTTGGGGCTGCCAGGCATGATAGCACACACCCTTAGTCCCAGCAGGAGGCAGAGACAGGCAGATCTCTGAGTTCAAAACCAGCCTGATCCCAGAGTGAATTCCAGAACACCAGAGCTACATAGTGAGACCCTGTCAGAGAAAGAGAGAGAGAGAGAGAGAGAGAGAGAGAGAGAGAGAGAGGAAGAGACTTCATCAATGTAACTTTTTTCTTTGACCCATTTTCTGTTTGCAATACAGAAGAATAGGTGTGTGCTTTATCTCAGAAATAGCAGCCCCTCACCTGAAATGACTTGTGATTTCTGGGGACATACACATCCAATAGTTTGTCTGGTAGGCAGTTCACAGTATATCAAAAGATCCCATTGTACACCCATATCCAATCTCAATTTTTAAAAAAGATTTATTTGAATAGATTTGAGTGGCTGTGTCAGAATTGTTTTATTGTAGAATCTTGTCAATATTCTAGACAGGATACAAAAAGCCAAAAGTAATTCACAGTGCAGCATCTCATAGTACACAGGTTACTGTGTATTTCAGTTGCTAGATTTGGCTTTTTATATATGTTGGGTGTAGTGGTTGGTGTTCATCTATAATCCCAAACCTGGGGTGTAAGAGGATTGTGAGTTTGAGGCCAACTTGGGCTACAGAGCTTACTTTGAGACCCTGTCTAAGAACTCCTCACTCTACCCCGAAAAGTACCCAAAAGGCAGAGGCAGGCAGATCTCTATGAGCTCAAAGTCAGCCAGGTAGACAGCAAGTTCCAGCCGAGCCAAGGCTACACAGTGAAGCCTTGCCTCAAAAAAACAAAATAAAATAACATTAATAAAATTAGTTACTGGCTGTGTGAATACAATGAGTCCCATGTTTACAACTCATATTCTTTGGCATACTCTTAGCCTTGTCTGTTGGCGGCTACCAGTCACCTGACTTCGACACAACAGTCCAGGACCACAGTCGCAGCGCTGGAAGATTTCTGGGGCTTGTATAGTGTCTTTTTGCCCTCTCCTGGAGCAGACTTGTCCCTCTAGTAGTACTGGCTTGCAAATTTTTGTCCAAAAGTGGCGAGCACAGCAAAGTCCAGGGCCACAGTCGGAAGTTCTCAGACAGCTTTCTCCCTCCTGTCCTGTAACAAGTTAGACACAGGCTTTAGTGGCAGATGGGCAGCACTGCTCATGGCAGCAGACAGGTTAAGGGTGTGTGTTGTTCTAATGGCATGAGTTTGGGAATCTAGGTATGAAGGCTACAACCTAAAAATAGCAACAGTCAATAGGACCCATGGGTCTCACATAATGAGGGGAAATTCTAACCCTTCCTAATAGGGTTTATTGCTTCTTATTAAAGTCCTGGCGGTGGTGGCACATACCTTTAATCCTAGCACTTGGGAGGCAGAGGCAGGCAGATCTCTATGAGTTTGAGACCAGCCTGGTCTATAGAGCAAGTTCCAGGACAGGCTCCAAAGCTACAGAAAAACCCTGTCTCAAAACAAACAACAACAAAAGACCGTAGTAATAAGTACTTAGGAAGAAAACCTTCCAGTGTTCATTTACAGACACATACATACAAGAGCACACACACACTATGCTGGCGGTATAACAAGTGCCATTTTCCCTTTCTATATCTTTAGCATACACAGTGGATGAAGTAAATGCATTTGCTCCAACTTTGTACAAAATACAAAATGGATTTTGTTGTTTGGAAACAGGATCTATATAGACCAGGCTGGCCTGGAACTCAGAAATCCAACGGCCTTTACTGGAATTAAAAGGGGTTTGCTACCACACTTAGTGATTTAAAAAAAAAAAATGTTAAACAAAATTGGAGTCTCAAGTTATAGTCTTTGAGAAAACATTCACACTGTGCTGGGAAATGGTGTGTGTGTAACTGAACACTGGAAAGTTTTCTTCCTATGCACTTATCACTAGGGTCTTGCCCTGTCCTGGCCAGTGGGGTCTCTTGAGTTGTTTCAAGAGCTCGAAGACATGGGTGAAGAAGGAAGTTAGTTTCAGCCTGTGGAACTGAGAGGGAGAAAATTGTTTTCAAAATAAAATGTGCTCAGAATGGTGTTCTTACCCTTACTGCTTTGTGATTTCTTAATGCTGGGCTTCCCCTGAGCTCTGTTTTCCTCTGTGGGCCATTTGGTGGTTCCTTCTGCATAGGTGCCATCTTGGCCATCATTGTTTCTGTCCATTACTGGCCTTGTGTCTTCCACAGCAGTGCAAACATCTGAGGGACAGCCAGCTTTAGTTAGTGTTACTGAGGGACAGAAGTCCAGACATGCAGTTACTGTGTTATGAAATAATTTGGTAGCTCTTCTACTCACCATTCACACAGACTGATCCTGGGCAGCACATGGCACTCCGCTGGCACCTCCTTCGAACTCTACGGCATGTGGTGCAGTATGACTTGTCATCGTGCAGCATGAGACAGAACTTCCCTACGTTGCAGTCCTTGTCTGAGGCACACTGTGAGCCCTGTGAAGGAAGACTTGTCACAGGCTGGGAAATCCAATGAGCCCTAAGAGGTCTTTATCCCACACATGGGTTGGGGTGGGGGGCTGTTGAGACGTTGTGTGGAGCTTCCGGCACCCTCTTAATTTTTCAGCGTAATTGGTTTCCCCCAAAAAAGAATACATCAAACTACCTGTGAGAAGACCTTGGTTGCTACAGAGCTTGTGTTTGAGAGCTTGTCTTTAATCAATTATGAACCAACCATGTCCTAACCCTTGTTTTACTTCAAAACTCAGAATTGAATACTCTTATGTTCTTCATGAAAAATCAAAGTTTTTTTCCTGTGTGTCTTACAGATGACACATGTCCCATTGTCACTGCACCCACTCCTCCCCAACTGTCCTTCATTATGTATGTACCACATAAGATATAGTATAATGCATAGTATACATAAATGATAATGACCCCGAAACAACTCTGTAAAGTCGATTATTACAATAATGTGTCATGTCCTAATGTGTTTATGTCCTAACTCCCACACACATGCTATGTAACCTTGGTCCAAATTACTGTCTCCTTCATTGATAATGGAAAGCTCTGCCTATCTCAAGTTGTGAGAAAGACAGTTTATCAGAAAAGTCTAGCACATGATACTGCTTCATTATACACTGATCTGTAGACAAATTCAGAGCCCTGGCTGGAAAAAGGCCTTTTGCTTTTCCTGGCTTTTTGTTTCATCTGTAGTCCAGGTTGGCCTCTGACTCACTGTCAGCTCCTTATTCTCATTCTCTGCCTTCTAAGTAATGGTTTGTGCTAATAGTCAATGACAAGAGAGTGGGGTTTTATGTGCAACCTCTGTCCTACATCAGTTCATTCACTTAGAGGTGAGGGTGGCCTGCCTGACACAAGGTTAGTTATGGTTGCTATGGGTCTCAATGTTGCCCTGATCCAGCTGCACTTACCTTCCCAGTGCCTTGCACATCTGTAGAGCTCTTGATGTTGTTGAAATCCAGGACCAAAGCTCCCAGGGGTGAACAGAACCAGCTGAGTCCAAGCAAGGCCACCAGTACCATCCTTCAGTCACTCAGGTCTCTGGGGACTTCCTAGTACCCCTTGAGTCTTCTGACCCTGGGCTGCTGCAAATGGAGCTGAGTGGACCTGCGTGCAATCTGCCAGTCTCCTGGAGCAGCCTTTTCTGAAAGAGAAGCGAATCTTCGCAAGGACTGTGTGTTAAAGGAGACAGGCAGGGTCTGACCAGCACGCTTTTCAGAAAGCATTTATAGACAGATGTGGCTCCTCTTCTCCCTCCCAGCCCACTCGCTTCCTTCCTCTTTACCCCACACAGGCTACAACAGATCCCTTCACATCTTTGATCAATAGTTCAAAACAAGGGCTCAGTGGAAGGAGACCAGAGGCAGGGCCACAGCGGCTGCTCCTCCAGGCAGCAGTCCCTCTTAATTATTGCATATCAAAGTCAGTTCAAAGGGCTCCCAGGAGAGAAGGATGTTGGTATCAAAGGCAGTCCTGATAATCACCTGCATTTCCTACCCTCAAACCTTTGGGAGGGGGGGCATACTAAGATGTGTTTTCTCAGCTAATTGTACTCAAAAAGAATGACTCACATTAGCCAATATGCTGCAGATGTTTAAAAGGAATAAAATGAGAATAACGAATTACCGAATCTACCCTGAAGTCTAAAATAGCGAAGGGTACCTTTTCCTTAGCCCCCACATCTACACTGGAATGTGCCAATAGCTTCAGAACTGTGACAGTGGCATCACCTACTCTTATTAGAAAACTAATGGAGTACATGAATATCTGATTTTATTTTCAAATGTCTTAATTACTTTGTAAACTGATATTTAAAAAAGCATAAAGTGACACCTATACTTCCAGAACTTGGGAAATGGAGGCAAAAGGATCAAGAGGTCAAGGTCAGTCCTGGCTACATAGCAAGTTGGACCCTGTACCAAAAAACAATGATGAGTTTTTTTTTGTTTTTTTTTTTTTAAGATTTTAGTTTTAATTATGCACACACATAATGGGGAGGGGTTGTGCATGTGAGTGCAGTTCCTGAGGAGTCCAGAAGAGGGCATGAAAGCCCCTGGAGGTGGTAAGCTGCCTAAACTTGGGTGCTCTTCATTACTGAGCCATCTCTCCAGGCTCTAAAATGAATTTTTTTTGTTTTGCTTTGTTTTTTTTTGTTTGTTTGTTTGACACAGGGCTTCTCTGTGTAACCCTAGCTGTCCTAGAACTTGCTCTGTAGACCAGGATGGACTCAAAACTCACAGAGATCCTCTTGCCTCCACCTTCTTGAATGTGGGATTAAAGGTGTGCGCCACCACCGCCTGGCTTCCGAAATTGAATTTTTAGAACATCTGCTTTCACCCTTTCTCATATATAAACATTTTATCTTTGAAATGGAGTGTTGCCCAGGCTGCCCTCAAACCCCTGGCTCAAGTATCTTCCTGCCTCTGTCTCTGATAGTAACCGCCAGAGCGCCATCTCGGGCTGTTAGAGAAGAGAGTACTTGGAGTGTGTGCTTCTCCATGTTCTGAACACGTTAGGGAGAAAACAAACTAGATGTGGGAGGAAGATGGCCTTTCAGTCCTCTTCACGGCTGTCTTTCTTTTCAGGGTGGACTTAGTCTTGGACTGTCTAAAATCTAACAAGACCGGGCTGGACAGTTGCCATAAAGAACACTGGCTGCTCTTGCATAGGACCTGGGTTTGATCTCCAGCACCTACATGGAGGCTCCCAACAGTCTAACTCCAGTACCAGGGAGTAAGATGCCCCCTTCTGACCTCTTCAGGTACCAGGAACACATGTGGTGCTCATACATAGGCAAAACACTTGTGCGTAAGGCAATAAAGTCTTTAAAAATTGAATAAAATCTAACAATACCAATTTTCTCTTCAGTGGGGAGGGATCCATGGTGTGGCTGGGTCTTCCTTTAGGACTCCCAGCACAGCCAGGGACCCACCCCTGTGACACATTGTGGTAGCCAGGACATTTTCAGTTGGAAGTTCCCCAACAGGGGCCTGCTCTCAAGTTCCCCAGGAAAGCTCTGCAAATAATCACCTGGGCTGGATGTCTAATACCAAGGTGTGACATTAATCACTATGCTTTCCAGGAATAGCACTCTCCACTCTATTGGACAGAGTAGATACAGTGACAGCACAACATTGAAAGTGTCTCTGTCTCTGTTCCTCTCTATGTCTCATCTGTCTCCCTCTCCTTGCACAACACACACACACACACACACACACACACACACACACACACACACACACACACCATTATTGAAGGAATGTAGCCTTCAGGGTCAGACAGACCCAATTTGGTCACCAGCCTGGCTTCCTGGCTCCACTTTCTGTTCCTCCAAACAGCACTTAGAAAACACTCCTCTGGTTGCTTACTTACTTGGTTTTTCACCTAGGTGGTGGACCCTGAAAGGGTAGGGCTCTCACTAATTGATCTTCGGATCCTCAGACTTGAATACTAAGCACATAATAAAAGCTCAAAAAAAAATGTGGCATGATTTGCACTATGATCCAGGCTGCCTAGAATCTGCAGCTTTGGCCTCCTTAGTTTTGGATCTGCAAATGTGAACCACCATACTGGACAAAACTCTGAAACTTTTTATGTGACATACAAGTACAGGGAGAGATTTATGTGATATTTTGATGTGGAGCAAGTTGCCAAGGCAATTTCTAGAAGAACAAGTTAATTTTGGTTTATGGCTCCTTGGAGTCCATGATAGCAGGAACAACATGGCGGCGGGCAGCAGGAAGCTCGGACCTCACCTCTTAAGCCACAAGCATGACACAGAGAGGTCAAACTAGAAGTAGGTCTTTTATTCTCAAGCTGCCCCCAGTGACACACTTCCTCCACAAAGGTCACACGACTTAACCCTCCTGAAACAGCAACACCAATGGGGAACCAGGAGCTCAGATGTTGGAGACCCCTGGGAGATATATATGTCTGCTTCAAGCCACCCCACCTGTGCTCCTAAAACTCCAAAGTGTTTCTCACTGCTGTGGTTTGAAAGTTAAGTGTCGGGGCTGGAGAGATGGCTCAGAGGTTAAGAGCACTGCCTGCTCTTGCAGAGTTCCTGAGTTCAATTCCCAGCAACCACATGGTGGTTCACAACCATCCGTTATGAGATCTGGTGCCCTCTTCTGGTGTGCAGATATACATGGAAGCAGAATGTTGTATACATAATAAATAAATAAAATCTTAAAAAAAAAAGAAAGTTAAGTGTCTTCCATTGGTTCGTGTGTTTAAACACATGGCCCTAATTGGCTCTGCTGTTCCAGAAGGTTGTGGAACCTTTAAGAGGTGGAGCCTTGCTGGAAGAAGTGAACCACTGGAGACGGACTTTTAGGTTTGGTAACATGGCTGTGGACAGAATGTGACTAGCCACCTCCGCTCTATCACTGTGCCTTTCCCCACTGTGATGGACTCATAGCTTCCCTCAATCTTTTAAGTTGCCTCTTGTCAAGTCAAAATTGGTCACAGTGATAAGAAAAGCCTGGGCTACCCATTTCTCAGGCCAGGGCTTCACACCACCGGGTAAACTCCAGCAGCTAGCAATCATGTTGCTTTGCTATGCTTAACTAGTTCAGCAGAGAAAAGTCTACCCCAACCTCAGGCCTCCTCTTACAACAAGGCTACCGTTTCTGGCTCTGAAAAGCCAAGGTAATTTTAAGGAAAGTGGAACTACAAGGGCAGGGTGACTTGAAAAAAGACTTTGGTATATCTTCTAATCTGCCGAGGCCACTTGCTCATTAGTAACCACAGTGTTCCTCATCTTGGAGATCATCTCAGCTATTTAAGAACCAAAGGTAATGGAGCAGTGGGGAGATGACAAGGAAGTAGAGCAAGAAAGGTTTTTAAAGGCAACTGCTCTGTTACAGTTAAGATCTAAAATATCTTCCATGGGCTCCTGTGGTTGGACACTGGATCAACAGATGGTGATGGCTGTGGGGCCTTCAGAGGGGGACAATGTCACCAACCAAGGGCTCCACACCACACCAGTAGCTGCATGAGGGGTTTTCCACCCAGGCCAAACCAAGACTCATGGCTACAGCAAAGAAATCGATCTCAGGGAGAACCAAATAGGAAGCAAGTTGAGTTTATTTTTTAGTTTCTGTGGTCTCACTATGTAGTCCTGGCTGTCCTGGAACTTGCTCTGTAGACCACGCTGTCTTCGAACTCACAGCGATCCTCCTGTCTCTGCCTCCTAAGTGCTAGAATTAAAAGTGTGCACCAATATATTTGGGCTTTTCAAAAAAAAATTAAGTAACATTTATGCATGGTGTGTGTGTCTGTGTGTGTGTGTGTGTGTATGGTGGGGGAGGGCATATGGTTCCACACACCAGTACTTGTGTACACAGGTCAGAGGACAACTTTCAGTGGGTAGGTTTTCTTCTCCCGGGATGTGGCTCCCAGGGGTTGAACTCAGGTCACCAGGCTTGGCAGCAAGCCCCTTTCCCACCGAGACACCTAAGTGGCCCAGAGGTTAAGTTCCTTTATGGTGGGTGTTTTTGGCTTCCAGGTTACACCTCTAATGGTTCCTGAGGAGCATTCCCACCCTTTATTTCCTGACATTTGCCCATGGAGGGTAATTTGTAGCAATGTTAAAAGTTAAAGAGTTTTTCTGAGGAAACAAAATTGTAAGGTGGATTTAGGAGGGGCACTGTTTGTGTTTTAGGGAAAAGACTTGACTCCTAGAAACTCCAGCTTATATTTCATTTTGGCCATAAGTAAGTACAGTCTAGTTACTGTCCTTGTCTGTCTAGGCTGAGGTGTCTTTGGGAATGAATCATCTGGCCCTGAGTGAACATAATTTATTAATTATCTTTGGCAAGCTGTCTTTGGAAAATGCATTCTGTCTCTGTGGTTTTTTATACATAGAGACGTACTTACATTAGGTTATTTACTGCATGTGTGGGGAAGTCAGAAGATGACTTGTAGGAATCAGTTTTCTCCTTCCACCATTGTGGGGTCTGGGAATTGTGGGTTCCAGGTTTAGCAAGTGCCTGTGCCTGCAAGGCCATCTCAGCAGCCCATTCTTAGGCTCTTACCAGTGTAGACTTCCCTTTCTCTCCCAGCCTTTTCTCCCTGTGTCGCTACCATTCTCTATCTTTCTATTTTGCCTCAGCATGACTTGAAAAGGTAGGGGCAG